ATGGGACAGAGTAGAACTTCCCCACAGAGTTTTGTAGGTTGTAATCTTTACAGTCTTTTTTCCCTGGAGTAAGTGGATTCATACTAATAATATTTCAGTTAGTTGTTGAGTGATTAACCACTTTGCTACTTGGACTTTACAATAAATTAAAGAATGATTTAAATCCAGATGTTGTTGTTGTTGTTGTTAGGTGCCATCAAGTTGGTTCCAATTCATAGTGCCCCTGTATAGGGTTTCCGAGGAGTAGCTGGCGAGCTTGAACCACCAACTTCGTGGTTCAGTTCAAACCAAACTTGCAGTGCCATAGCAGGATTCCAAAATCTAGATTTATAAAGGAAAAAAAGCTACTAAAATGACAAGGAGACTAAAACAAAGTGAAAACATAAAAATTGATCATGAGGACAAAGAAAGCAAGAGAAGATAACAGTTGTACAAGTATCAAGTGACTTGTTACCTAGTTGTCATCTATCCGCTTGGTCTCACGGGCATTTAGTGTACAGTGGTGGTACTTGTGTGCTGTTGAGTGAAATGCTGACCCGTCCTCTGCCGTCTCCACAATTGCTGGTCTGGCGCATCAGTCCATTTTATTGGGTGTTCCCTTTGTTTTCACTGCTGCTCTGCTTTACCAAACTTAATGTCCTTTTCTAGTGATTGCTCTTTTCTGATGATACATCCACAGTAAACAAGTTAAAGAAGTTCTGTGAAGTAAAACCTGCTGAAGTAAAACCTATAAAGAAAACAGATTTATCCTACAAAACCCTAGAAAGCCTCAGGAAGTAGATGCACTAGGTGGAAGTCCTATGTTAAGTGCTATTCCCACCTGAATTTAGAAATTATTTTAAATTTGATGCATTAGACACTAGTGATGGAAGACCAGAAAAGTTGTGGGATCACATCTAGAACATCATGCAGGAAGAACACAAAAGGTCATTAAGAAGACAAGAAAGAATGAAAAGACCAAAATGGATGTCAGAAGAGACTCTGAAACTTGTTAAAAAAGTGTAGATATGCTAAAGCAAATGGAAGAAATGAATTAAAAGAGGATGATGCAGGACTCAACAGTGTTTCGTACTGTTGTGCCTAAGGTCGCTGAGTCGAAACAGACCATGTCACCTAAGAGTAACAAGGGGAGTGTATTGAAATACACAGCAGTGATTGATCATGTTATTGTTAAGTTCTGTCAAGTCTGTTCCTGTCCATTTTAAACACCCAAATTGGGAATAGAAGTTCAGTGCTTATCCTACATTGCCACACCAGGACTATATAGGAAATGGCCAGTATCGCTAGGCAAGAACAAAAAAGATTCCCTACCTTGAGTGTGGAACAATTTCCTGGTTTACTGAGCTGGCAGCCTGAGATTCTGTTATCTTGGATAGTCTTCCTTTGCCATTCTCTTGCAATTTTTCATGATGGAGTGATTTGCTCAGTGTCTCTGTAATATAATTTGAGAGTATGCATCAAAATATAACACATATGCAGTCTTCCCACCACTCATCTGTCAGTTTGTCATACTGTGGTGGCTTGTGAGTTGCTGTGATTCTGGAAACTATGCCACCGGTATTTAAAATTCCAGCAGGGTCAGCCATTGTGGGCAGGTTTCAGATGAGCTTCCAAATGAGGACAGACTAGGAAGAAGGAGTGACGAACTACTTCTGAACATTTAGTCCCTGAAAACCTTATGAATAGCAGAGAAACACTTTTAGATACAGTGCCAGAAAATGAGTCCCTCAGGTTGGAAGGCACTCAAAATGCGACCTGGGAAGAGCTGCCTCTGCAAAGTAGAGTTGACCATGATGACATGAATGGAGTAAAGCCTGTGGGAGTAAAGCCCTCAGGGCCTTCATTTGCTGATAGGCCACAACTCAAAATGCAGACAAACAGCTGTAAAACTCCATTGAAAATCGGAACATGGAATGTACGAATTATGAATCTGGGAAAAATTGGAAGTTGTCAGAAATTAAATGGAACGCATCAGCATCAACATCTTAGGCATTAGTGAGCTGAAATGGACTGGTATTGGCCATTTTGCATCTGACAGCCACATGGTTTACTATGCCAGGAATGACAAATTGAAGAGGAATGGTGTTACATTCATCTTCAAAAAGAACATATCCAGATCAGTCATGAGGTACAACGCTGTCTGTGATACGATAATATCTATGCACCTAAAGGGAAGCCCAGTTAATACCACTATTACTCAAATGTATGCACCAGCCACGAAAGCGAGTCAGGATGAAATAGAAGAATTCTACCAACTTCTTCAATCTGACATTGATGAAACATGCATTCAAGATGTATTGGTCATTACTGGTGATTAGAATGCAAAGGTTGGAAGCAAAGAGGAAGGATCCGTATTTGGAAAATATGGCCTTGGTAATAGAAATGATGCTGGAGATCACATGATAGAATTATGCAAAATCAATGATTGGTTCATTTCAAATACCTTCTTTAGAAAGCATA